ATTTTGTAATAGTAATTTTTTAGAACGTATGATTGAAAAGTAGGAAAAATTTTGAATTTACGAAAATGAGTTTGGAAAAAAAATGATTTTTTAAAGAATGGGCTCAAATAAATAGTAGAGTATCTCAAAAAGACTTTTTATTTTTACAGATACACCTTGATTATAATAGAGAGTTCTTCAAATTTTGAAGAGTTTTATCTCAATAAACTTCAACAAATTCTTCAGGGTCTATTCTCTTTATCATTTTCAAGCCGTTTTTTGTTTTCGATTTTCCAAAACAGTGAAAACACGTTTTCTTCCCTATTTTCAAAAACGTATTTTTGAAAACAAGTTAAAAATTTACAAAGAAACGGGTGTTTTCAATTATAATCAAGTTAAAATTTTCAAAACGCGTTTTTTGTGTTTTCAAAATAATTTTTTAAAATATCAAAAAGAACAAATTTTCAACAATCTCAAAATGAATACTCAAAACACAAAACTCAAAATGAATTCAAAACTAACAACCCCTTACTTTTTGCTCTCTATTTTATTTTTTTTCAACGATCATATATTTTTTCTCCCTAACTTTCAATTTTTATGATATTTTCAAATGTCAATTGATAAAATATTCAACATAATAAGAATAATTTAAATATTATTTGGACAATTTAAATAGTAGAGCATTGAAACTTGAAATTCTATAAATATTCAATTTTTTTTTCTTTTTCATGTTTATTTGGGCACCCTTAGGTCAACCTAGTGCACCTCATTTATTCAATGCGGAGTTTGCTTCCTTTCGTACTCCTTTTACTTTTTTCAACCCAAAGACTAAACAAATTTTCCTAAAAGTTAGCAAACGTGTTTCAACAAAATTTGTTGGGCCCAAGTTGCTACAAGACCCATAGGCTAGAAGGTCTTAGGTTAATTTTCCCTCCAGTTAATTTTGATAGTCACTGAAGTGTGAACAATATTTAATAAAGGTCATTAAAGTATTTGTTTCACATATTTAATTAGTCTCTAAATTTAATAATAATTTTATCATTTATTACTAGGTTAGTAAAAGTATAAAATAAAAAAATTGCAAAGAGGATCATTAAAAGTATGAAAGTTGTAAGTAATTTATGGAAAGAACTCGACACTTTTCTACGTGATTTTTCAAAAAAAAATGGTTACACAATTTAGGTGCTGTTCTCTTTGTGTT